ATTTGTGTGTCAGAAATCTCAGGGATGTTGGCGTGCATGCTATTGGACCCTGAGCAGTGCTGATTTTACACTGTTTTCAATCGAGCTTGAAGTAGTGGACTGGAACCTTCAACATTCGTGGGCCGCGGCGCGGCGAGTTGGCATGGTGCCGGTGTAGAGATTCACGCGGTCATTTTCCTTCCTCAACAAGTCAGAACTGCACCAACCTTGACTCCATGAGCTGTGTAGGCGTTCCAGAATAACCTGGCGGGGGACAGATTTACTGGGTCGGGGGGGGGGGACACTTTTACTTAGGTAAATCTGTCCTTGGACACGTTTACCGGGGACAAATTTACTGTCTACACCCATCGGGCAGGCATTCTCTCAGTGGAAAAAGTGTCACTAACTCTTAATCATGACCCCTTGAATCTCATGATGCAGTGTAATTCATGTACCTGTGCAGCAAACGAAAAATGGACGGTGAATTTAATTGGGCTTACCAGAATGCCGTGCGAGGATGCCCGAAACCAGTATCATGGTACAGGAGTCTGGGTAAGGTAGTCTCTAAACTGAAGGGAGGTTGGGGTGTTTTGCCATGGGTGCTGTAGGGGATCATGTCAGAGGTCCCATTTTTATCTTCAAAGTTCAAAGGCAAAGTGCCAAATGTCTTCCGAATTTCAAGCGCACGCACTAGCTCACTGGATGATTCGGAAACCGAAGTATTTCTATACATGTACTGCCCCGAGTGGTTGGCAGTCGTAGTACGCCTTGGATATATGAGGGGGACTTCAGTTCTAAGCAGTTATATGACCATGTTACAGATAGACGGAATATAAATACCGTAAACATTACCAACCATGGCCTACCCAAAGCTAAGAAAGCGACGCCATTGCGAGATTGAGCGACGAAGGCAACTTATGACGAACGAAGCCTTCGGTATATACTCCTAAATCCAGACTACTGTCCTTTCGAAAAATTATCTGATCTTTCCGACGTCTTCAGCACGACATTGCAAACTTTAAATTAGAAAATTTCCCACCCAAGTCCGAGTTTCCAGAAAACAATTTATTCAAAAGATGCTTCTAAAGATGGTTTCGGGAGATAATGTCCACAATTTATTTTAAAAGCAGTAGCAACCAAAAATAATACTGAATAATAGACTTCCCATTGACTTGTATTTATAACGACTTGAGTACAACTTCGTCCAATTTTGATTATGTTAAAAACATTTTCTGCGCAATTTGAATTCACTTTTCGACGCCATATCACCTGTGTTGCCGACCTATTCAAGGGTCGTATTTACCAAATGCAAACGAAATTTCGAATTTGTTTGAATTTTGTAAAACTGATGCTAGTATAATTAATAAATAAATTTGTCTGGTGTACTTTAAAAGGTAACATCGGATGAAGCCCTATCGTGAAAACCAAACACCCTTGAAATAACCTTCCCAAACAAGCCCCGAAATTATTTCAGCATAGAATGATTACTTTTTGGAAATGATATAACTTCAATGCAACACTAATTGTAAAGATTATAGTATGATCGTAGAAAACATGCATGGAGCTTTCTTACTCATAAAAGCAAAACAAACATATCAAAAATTCCACACTTATTTGTCTACTTTAAGCTCCTAATTTTACATAAGATAACTGCAAATAATCACTCTGAGAATGATTGATATTGAGTTTTGTGTATGTGTAATTAGAAATCGTAAGTTTCAAAATGTTAACAAGAGGTACATGTATTGGTATTCAGCAATTAATTAAACAAGAGATGTTTTAAAATACAAAGCACCAAATAAAAAAGTCAAAGTTATTTTACTTTTATAAACCAAAGCAGTGTTAAAGTCACTTTCCCCAAAATACATTTCGTCGGTGTCTTCTATTAACATCAGGTTCAGGCTGGCAAACTATAGAGTCATGCTGAATTGCATGTTGCTAGAGCGACTTAGTCGATCCGATAAGATTCCAGTTACAGAGGCTTTGTATGGAAGCCATCTTGCAGGCCAGTTCTTTTTTCCACAGGGTTTGCACATTTGAGGTTTCCCGGGCAAAAAGAACTGCCCTGCAAGATGGCTACCATGAAGTGCCTTCATTGACTTGTGTGTAGCACTGGAGATACCAAAACACACCCAGAACTTACTTCTAGCTGTAGTTTTGCTGGATAGTGGATACGTATTTTCGTAAACATCACCCAAACAGAAAGTAAAATATGCAAGCTGGAAAAAAACCCCATCATGGCCGTTCATGAATACCCGTACAATTGATAAACATCTGCACAACAAACAAAAAATAATTCAGTTTGACTGCCATGCACTAAGCAATGAAAATCATTAAAAAATGATAAATGAAGCAACGCAAGTATAATCCATAAAGTTTTGCAGACATTATGGTTTACCAAAAGAACAATAGTTTTGCTTGTAGTCTTTCACATTTTATGGTTATAACGCTCATCAATATTACATGAATTGCTTCATCAAATAATTGCTTCATCTCGGTAGTGGGTCGGTTTTTATGTTGATTTCATGTCCGTATGTTTACAATAACTGCAGGCCGAAATGATACAGCAAGAAGCGAGTCGAGTCTGTTTATTTTTTTATCTCTAGTGCTGCTCGTGACTTGAATTAAGCAAGGCTGTCAAAATCAAAATCTGCTTGGACCGACTGAAGTCGCTCCTTGTACCACTTTTGGCAGTCTGAACATTGCGCAGTACCGAGTTATGAGCACATCTTCACGGTAGCGCGAGCACATTTAAATGAACGCGAATTCTCTAGCCAGCCAATCACAAAATGTAGACGCGGCACAAATCCGAATTTGGTCTGGGTACCGGACTCATCGTGACGATTTCTACACTTGCTCGATGATACAGCAGGCCAGACGGGCCCCAGCATGGCCCGTAGTAAGACTATCGTCGTAATCACCCCTGCCAAGATCGTCGGTATCCTTGTGCAACTAGGGAAATACAAAAATAAATCGATGGGAAAAAAGGACAACATTGCAATCAAACGTTGAAACAAAACAATGCAAACATGACAATAACTCCGAGCGTACATGTATCCAGGAGCATTCATAACTTCCAATCTCAAATTTTTAATGCGTAATAACTTCTCAGAGTAGGAACAAGATTAATTTTTGAAACGCCGCAGTTCAATTAAGGGTGAATTTATATATCTGTAGAGTATTGGGTAACTCTGTGGTTTTATCTGTAATAGTAATTTTGATCGACCTGGGGGTATCTTTTCCAGTATTATTCTGAGCAGTCGGAGTACCCCTCTGGCGCAAGGTGCACATTAAGGGTGTCGCTATGGCAATGCTACACATGCCTACAGGGCGCCAGGCATATAAGGTCATAAGGGCCAATTTGTTCGTGTCCTGTTTCTCTGGTATGAGCAAGAGAAGGGGCTTACCAGGGAAAACGCATCAAACTATTTGCTTGTTGTGTTTCTGTAATGAATGCTGTATGTTTACGCGGCAGCCTATTTGCTCTTGGCACTGGAGTAAATTATCAAAAACAAAGTTTTACCTCGACTATCACGATCTAGGAAACACATTTGGTGTTCTCTTTACCTCTAGACAAGTTGTGTTAAATCCCAGTTATATTATAGAGAGAATTTGAGTTTCCTCTGAAATCCTTGAGTTAACCCCAGCAATACGTTTCCTCTTTTGAGATGATAGAGCCGTTTTACTTAAAACAGAACTCAATCGGCACCTACCACTATTGCCCTTCCGATGATGGTATCAGCACCGACCAGAGAGGCAACCTCATCGCTGAATTCCTCATTCACTGACCCAACACTATCTCGCTCCACATTTCCAAAGTCCCCAACATGCCTTCATTTAAACCACAAAAAAGGTCGATATTTTCTCTTACAGGAACAAATGAGTTTTTTGTTTGGAGATATTTACAACCTTCAAAACGTATTTTACATTTTTTTAACTTCCGAGTTGGCTGTTTTGATTTTAGTGGATGCGCGCTTGGACAGACAACTTTTCATGAGAGGAATATAATATACCCTTAAGAAAAGGTGTAAGGCAGAAGCCAGATGCTGCGCCGGGTGTTGTTAAACCTACATGGAATAAGATGGATCAAAGTAATCGACTCGCCTTTAAAGGCTATAAATTTACAAAATTCATCGTACACATGCACACCTTTGTGTATCCGAGGGTCCACCGTGTTGCTTGCCGAAGGGATTAAAATGACCCCCGGTCGAGGCGCATCCGTTGCTCAAATCTCCGAATTGATGCACATGGAAGCCATGAAGAGTTGCACTAGACGTGTCAAGACCCGTCAGTTGTACAGAAACGTTCATGCTCCCTCCAGTTTTCTGGGAGACAAGTATTTGGAAGGCGGAGCCTAACTGACATTTACAGACTGGAGAGTCGTTTGGAGTCTAGATAGGCCTAGGCAATGCATGCAGTTTAATCAGCGCAAATAAAGTCAAGTTGTCAAAGAGCATGTGAGAGTGAACAGCCCAAGTAGCATCAACTACATACTAATATGAGTTGATTGCTCCAAAGCATCAAGCACTTAAATCAAGCAAATGATCTGTCTTAGGTTTATGAACGTCGCCGAGCCAAATTTCCCATTAGGGCCAAGAACGAAAGTAATGGTGTGGCGATGTCTCGTGTGACGACAAAACGACCAAAGTTAAAACATGCAAGTCGAGTCATTGTGTACAACTACGTCAACTACAGACAGACTGCGTCACAAGAATAACTCATTACCAGGATCGAAATCACGAAACACAATGTCTTAATACTCAACACCAAAGTATATATCATTTCGCACTTAAATTAAAATGAAAACGCAGAAAGAAGAGGCTCTTGCGACAGTAGGAAGATACACAGTGATTTCTTAGTAACCCACCAACTGCTTGAATGTAACAGTGCCTTGGATACTGTTGGCTGCCCGTACGTCATCAGGGAGACCAGGATTAGTCTGTAAGTCGCATCTGGCTTGAATGTAAGGGTCCTTGGGAACAAAACAGAATCATACCTCAAAGTAATACCAACAGACCAACCGCGGAACCTGTAGTGGGTATCAAACGTCAAACTTGACTTCTTCCCAAAGCAAAGTGCGTTTTAAGTGTTGTTTATCCGAAATAAAGCAAAGTTTCGGTTCCGTAGTACTTACCGCATTAGTGTTTTACTGACCGTCGTGTCGGCTTTATTGTGGGGAAATGACACTTATGGCATGCTTCTCTACGGTAAGACGGCATGTTTATTACTGTTTGATACCCACTATAGAACACGTGACTTAGTGGGCACAATCGCTCAATTCCAAGTGATCAGGTAACTAGATTATGATAAAAGTGACCGGCACTTCCACATGTGGAAACATGATAGACTAATTCCAGCCAACTTTCTTTTCTCCATCTGATACGAAGAATAAATTGTTTAGATTACTAAAGTTGATGCTCTTACTATATAAAATATCTTATTTTTTGACAAGACTAACATTGGCATTGACTTTATTATCACATCACTTTATTCTTGCTGTTCACAGACTAACATTGGCATTGAGTTCATTATCACATCACTTTATTCTGGCTGTTCACAGACTAACATTGGCATTGAGTTCATTATCACATCACTTTATTCTAGCTGTTCACAGACTAACATTGGCATTGAGTTCATTATCACATCACTTTATTCTAGCTGTTAACAGACTAACATTGGCATTGAGTTCATTATCACCTCACTTTATTCTAGCTGTTGACAGACTAACATTGGCATTGAGTTCATTATCACATCACTTTATTCTAGCTGTTAACAGACTAACATTGGCATTGAGTTCATTATCACATCACTTTATTCTTGATGTTAACAGACTAACATTGGCATTGAGTTCATTATCACATCACTTTATTCTAGCTGTTCACAGACTAACATTGGCATTGAGTTCATTATCACATCACTTTATTCTGGCTGTTCACAGACTAACATTGGCATTGAGTTCATTATCACATCACTTTATTCTGGCTGTTCACAACAAGTACTTCACTCAGACGACGACTGACTTTCATAAAAAAGAAATTCAAACATCCTAAAGGTTTGGTATATAAAAGGCTTCTGATTCATGAGTGTCGATAACTTATCACTAATTCCGAAATGAGGCATCGATATACCTCTTAATAAATTATTTATGCAGTCATATATACTTCAGAAAATTTTTCTCAACCCCCACAGGAATTAACAAGTTTTCACGATAATCCTCAGTCTTCATGAAACCCCCATTACGCAAAAGCAAAAGTGAAAATCTTTTGTTTCTGTTCATCCTCTGTTTAGCTGTACGTGTTATATTACTTGCAACAACATTGCATTTGTGACTTGCCTGGTTACAATCCTATAAACATATCTATTTGTCACAAAAGCAAAATAAGTGCTCAGTTCTTTTCAAGCAATCGACTCCAACTAGTCCTCTATCCGTCTTACCTCGGCTCTTTGCTGTAAAGCATTCAGGAGGCTCAAATATTCGCGTCGGGTCGGGGCAGCTGAAATAATAAGCACGAAGGTGTAAAATTGGGAGAACTGAGGATTGGTTTTTCACTGTGTATTTATGCATAATTCGTAACTTGGGTCATTTCATTTTCATTTCAGTTTTAGGGATACACTTACAAAGACATTCTATACACAGAAGATACAAATAAACATTAGAAACAAAACACGAAAGACGCAACATTTAACTAGCTCCCACTTGATTGCCGAAATTGTCGAGGGGCTCTCCAACCGGTTAAACGGGAAACAGACAATAATTAAAATTAGGAAAATTATAAATGAAAAAAACTTAAGGAAATAAAAACAATATTAACGCAGCATAACATAAAAATACAACAAAACATTAATAAAATTATTATTATTTCCGAAAATGGGTCACTTGGGAGACATTCCCATATTAACGTGCACAAAATATTTCAAACTTTACCGTCCCATAATTCAATATTCCCTAATCTGATCTTAGCCAAACTTTGCATGTTTTCCTTTTAGACTTTAATCTATCATCTCTCAAAATTTGGACTTTAAAAAATTTTCCTCCTTTTGGTAGCTGGAGCATGTCTCCCTAATGACCGATGCCTCCTAATGTTGAAAAAATTACCATAAAACGTCTCCCAAATGACCTGTTTGGAAATATTTCAATTACTAAAGCTATGATTAAAACAAAATTTGAAAGTAGACTGAAATAAGCATCTCAAATTACTATAAGTGTACATACATATATACGAAAAATACCTGTTCTGGCAAGGCAGAGGAAAACAATGGGAAACGAAATACACGTCCATACAACCCTTAATTGGTTGACCTTACGGCATGAAGCTGGATATTCTACAGGGCATGGATGATAGGGCTATGGGTAAATAGGTGGTCACATAAAGAGTGAAAAAAGTCTTTGGGGGAGAGTTCTAGACAGATGTCTCGAGGGTCATGGGGAAGCGAATTAAACAATCTGGGAAAGAGGGTAAACAATGAAAGTTTCACACGATTAGTTCTGCAGTACTGATGTTTGAAGAGCAGAGTGTCTGCCTTCTTTGTGTTAGGCTGTGGAAGAAAATGTGATAGGATGTTGATATGTTTGAAGAGGCATTTGATGACGAAAAAAGCACTTATAAGAAGACAAGTCTGTTGTAGGGGGGTTTAGACAAGCGTTTTCGTCAGAGAGGGAGGTAGCAAAATTGTAAGGCAAGATTTTATGAAGCGTCGCTAAACTGCCTCAATACATTGGATGTGGTTTTTCTGATGTGGTAACCGAACTGCTAATCCACATTCAAGAACAGGCCTGCAAATAGATTGAGCTCATAATACCCCGCCACCCTGCATGATCAACCTCATAGCCAGGTACAGGTGAAAGTGTCACATTCCTCTGAGGGGATTTCACCTTGTACCCACAACAAGTCATCCGAGGGGTCGTTTTTTAGAGTGGCGGGGTATTCTGCAGTTACTCCATACTAGATTGGAAAAGTTTCACGAGAACTACTTTTTCTGAATTCCTCAGCGCGTCGAATGAAACCACCAAGTTTGGAACATTTTAAAACAAAACTTATGGGAAGAGTTACATACACGGACGCCAATAATGATTCCCCACAGTGACCTACAAGTCATTAGAAAGCAAAAACGTGTCCAGAAAAGCTCAATTTAAGAGGGAGAATACCGAGTTACTTACTGACAACAACAGAATTTTTCAGACCTGTCTGACAGGGTTTGTACACAGGGTGTCAAGTGGCGTCCGTACATGGAACTCTTTCCAAACTTATTTCCACTATTTCCAGTAATGTAACAAAAGAAGACAGAGCGCCGTTAATGTAGTATTGGAGCCCAGTGTCGACAGTGGATGATCTTCAATTGGGTAGTACATCTCAGATGCTTTTGAGTTGTAAAACATGCATGTACACTAACACCATGGAGGAAGGAAAACTGACCACTGCATATGGAAAACAAGCAAAACCCTCAGCTTACCTGCGCCATGTATAAGAGCAATGCCTACAATGTTCACTAACAGCAGTGCCACACTTCTGTATGCGCCCATTTTCAAGTTCCTGTAATTTTGGTAGGGTAAAAAACCGTCTGGTATATGACAACTACTTGTATCTGGACCAGCCACAGGTGCAAGGTGCTAGCAACTCGCAGCTATCCCACCACATGCACACGACCGACTGCGGATACTGATTTTTGTTTCTGAACGTTTGACGCAGAAACACAAACTGGTATTTTCATGAACTCTGCCCTTGCAAACGCATGGCAGATGTGTGGGTAGTTGCTAACCCCGTTTGTGCATTATAAGTCTGATAGACTGGTACATCTGTCCGATTGGTGTAGTGCTTGAGTATCAGTCAGATTTTATTTTTTATTTATTCACAACTACTTCCGGTTTATAAAATTATGTTTCTAGAGAGAGTTTTAAAACTGGGATCTTCTGAACAGGTGTGTCACACACAAATTTGAAAATCGGAAAGTAAGGGTTCTTGAAGAAAACCCAAAGACCAAGAACATGGATCTTGACTGTTACGCGACAAGATTGCACGTCTTCAACGTGACCCCTCCGAGTCCAGTTACTGGTAATTATTGAACCATCCTGTCACCGTCGGGGCTGTCTGCCAACAGTACACGTTACACACGACGATCGCAGGCTGACAGGCGGTGATCACCAATGTTCGATACCCTGAGACTATCCTATGGTGTAGGCCTATTATTTACGACACACATTTCTCTCTCTCTCTCTAGCCTCCCTCAAGGCGACGCAACTACATGACGCGCCGGCACGACGGTCGCAACGTCGCCTTCTTGCCATTACTTTTGTGCACACCCGACGCGTCGCGTAGTGCCGTCGCCCGGTCCTTTCCATGTTGCATTTTTGCCGCCTAAACGTCACCCCTTCCGTCGCCCATTGCGTCGTACCGTCATGCGTCGCGTCGTACGTCGTGTATCGCGTCGCCAATTACGTCGCCTGAAGCACGACGCGACACACGACACGACGCGACGTATCGTGTGCCGTCGCCCGTTGTTTCTTGGTGTTTATAGAGGGCGCCTTTACTGTTTTCTTTCCTTCCCCCCCCGGTACTTAAATGGTAGGGTACAGTCCACTAATTCAAGCCCCATTGAAAACAATGTAAAATAGGCACTGTTCAGGGCCCAATAACATGCTTACCAACATCCTTGAGATTGCTGAAACACAAATAAAATTATTTTCTGGTCCCTAATCTTTCGATTTCTTTTTAATTTATTGTGGCCTAATAACTACATTTTGATTATTCCAACAAAACAAAATCATCCCCGAAAAGTGATTTTTCCGAAGTCTGATTGCAGCCATTTTTCAAGTAGCAACCCTCAACCTTCTCGGGCACTTAGGACTATTTTTCAGTTGTAGTTTTCAGCCATTCTGCTCTCATAGGATGGCTCAAAGACCCAGGCAGTTGATCCTGGCAACGATTTACACAATCTCACCATTTGAATAGTGGAGTGCATGCACACAGCACATGGCATTCGCTCTTTGTACGCTGCCGCCATGAGCCTTGAACTGACAGCTTTTGAAATATTCTCCAATCGTATAGAAGAACTAACGCAACATCATACCCAAAATTACTCACCAACATACACGGAAAAAGCTGCCAGATCGAGGCTCTGCATGCCTATGGCGGTAGCGTACAAGGGAGCCGTCGTGCGAAATTTGTAAACCCAATGTGCGTTTGGAAAGGGTCGACAAATTTTGCGCGTTATGATTGGCCAACGCAGTGCAAACTCTTGGTGGCGCACTATTGTGAAAAATCGTCGCCCCCACTTGATGTGATCATGATTACAGCCCCCCCCCTACACTTTAGCGCAAATTTCCCTGCTCCCCAGTGCTCGGAATCCTGGCAACGCCGCTAATAAACAATGTATAGGAACATCGTGAGACGATGGGCAAAATCAGTTGTCTCTGCTCTCACAGTCTGCACTCCAACATTCTTAAAACTGTGCTCAATCTTCAGTCAGTAACGTTCTCGCTTCAGTTTCTTTGCGGCTTCAGAGACCATCAGGTGGGACATTTTTCTTTTCTTATTAAGGACTTTTTGCTGAAGAGTCCTTGGTATTAAAATTTTAAATTATAATTTTTTTTCAAATACTCAGAGGCGTAGTCAGACTCGAGGGGGAGCAAGAGGGCAAGAGTTCGGGGGGAGGGGAGAGTTTCACCTTTCTCCCCCATTGGCTCTCCTACTGAATGACATCATCATGAACGGCTCTTTCAAGAATGTCTACGCTAACGCACATCAATACACTGCAGATGGCTTGGCGACAGCTCACCCCTTTCCGATTTTCAAGGGGGGGGGAGTGTCCCCACAGAGGACACGTGACGCTTTACCTCCCTCGGCTATGTGAACGTCGTGGCCTGGAATAGTCGTCGAGAACTTTCGATATTTTTACAAGAATAAGTGCGCTAAAAGAACAGAAAACAGTCACCGCCATAGGGCAAAAGTTCATGTTTGACGTGCATTAATGTTTCAAAAGTCAAGAGGTTCCGAGCGTCAGCTGAAATGTTTACTTGTTGAGGATTGTCATTCGCATCCCGCAGACTGTTTGGCGCTCATTGGCTGAAGCAAATATTTCTCAGGTGTTTACAGTCGAAAGATACTCTGGTGATTAATTTAGCGGTTATAATTAATTTGCTTGTAAAATTGATAGCGGTATAAAAAAGAGAAGACCAGCTTGAACTTTGACATTGAACATTGATAGTCTAAAACTACATTAAGCAGGTTAAATATGCATCACCTTTGAAATTGTCTCTGCCTTTGAGAAAGATTCTGTCTTCAGAGAAAAGGGGGCTTTGTTTGAATTTTTATTATTTTTTTATGGATTCAGTTTCTGTGTTTGCTTGTTAAGATGCTTATGCTGGAGATGAAGGTTTGACGCTTTCCCCTGAAATGATCTCACTGTTTTCTGAAGTATTATGGAAATCTGAAGTAAGTGTGAAAACCGAAAAGTTCCGAATGAATGCGAAGTTACGTGAGGGACATTTTAAGGATTTTCAAACGGGTCCTTTTTGTTTATGCATGAAGTCACCGAGAAGTCTGTAGTAGCCTCAACTTTGTTGAAAAGGTTTTATAACCGAGAATCTTAAATTTAGGTTTTTCGTAACCTAAAATAGCCTAACAGGCCCCCGATGTGGCTCCCGCTTCCAGACTTGGCAAGGTTAAGTCTCTCTTTCTTCCAAAAATATTGAAAGCCGAATGCTCAATTTTGTTTTCATGTTTGTGTGTTGATGAGATGTGTAGCTGGAGTACTGGGAACAGGTCGGGACTTCGTCCAACGCTAATCGGAATTTGGTCGCATTGAAAAGCTATGCAGAGCTAATTTTTCTTCTTCGAATTCGGACGGTTGGGGATGACAAAGAGGGTATACAAGTGCCGATCGTGAGGGGAATTACACCTTATCCTCTTTTGACTAAGGGCTATGGCCATATAGATTTGCATTTAGAAATAAAAAACACTAAATTTTAAGAAATATAGGTTTGCACTATCGCGTGGGCGTACCAATATTGAACCCACCTGAAGCACGCTCACGGTTCAAGTGCTGATGTGACATTATTGTTGGTGAATTATTAACTGCAACCTTTATAACTTAATATACTTTGTACTCTATACGTTTACAATGATAACACCATGCAGATCACTGGAGAGAAAAGAAATGACTTTTTTCTAAACGTTTGCTTACGGGTCACATTAAAAGAGTGCAATATCTTAGCAAAGGTGGAAAGCTTGCGGTAGCACCATGCAAGGACACGATCTCTTTGTGAGTCTGTATGGTTCTGAAAAGATCCGTGAGGAACTTAACGTTTCGAACAGTATGCTCTGCCTGTCGTCAGGAGACTGAAAAGATGCCGACATGGAGTGGGGCTTATAAGCTGACTGGGAGTACTGGAGTGTGACGGATCCTTCTGTGTAGTCAGGTGGACCGAGGATACAGCTGGTGGATCCCCACTCTACGTCGGCATCTCTTCAGTCTTCTGATGACGGACAGAGCATACTGTCCGAAACGTTGAGTTCCTCACAGTTCTTTTCAGAACCATACAGACTCTCAAAGAGATCGTATCCTTGCTTGGTGCTACCGCAAGCTTTCCACCTTAGTTGTCTGTCACCCTGAATAGCTTTAAATATCTTAGCAGGAACTGCAATATATATGTTAGTCACTTCGGCATTGGAAGTTTAGGACTGGTATCAGACGTAGAAGTGTTTTAATTGGTAAGATACATATTGACATGCAGGAAGTGGTAATTTATGCTGTTTCATTGCAATGAGTCTGGGTAGTTATGAGTGTGTTTCCTTGTTAACATAATCCTAACAGATATTTTGCTTTAGATGGATAGATTTGGAATGACGTCGCTTTGAGTAACTTGTCATCCGTAAATCCACTGCATTATACCACCCACATGACCGCTCGTGGAAATACCGAGACATTTGACCTTAAATTAAGCTAAAGTTAATTGTTTTGCAAAAATACACTTTTGTTGATTTTCAGAAAACACTGATTAGTGTTTGTAGAGCCTCTGGCCCTATAGGTATTAACATGCACCGTCCACTCAACACCACACGATGTGTAACTTGCTTTGGTTCCATTTTGGAGCTCTGTTGCTGTCTGTGTGATTGTAGGGATATTGTCCTTTTAATAAAAGAACAGTTCTTTTCGTGTCACAACATCGACAGGCTAAAAATACTAGGTAATGAACAATGTAGGAACTCGTGATACGGTGAGCAAATTCATTTGTCTCTGCCCTCACAGTCTGCGCACAGTAACATTCCTAAAACACAGCCAAAGACTGCAGACACAAGCTTCCTAATATTATACCCAAACTCGTGTACAATATTGCCCCAAAACCTAAGTTGTAATTATTACGAAGTTAAGTTTGCCTAATTCATTTCAGTTAATTTGTGAAGGGGAGTCAAGTCCACTGATGCAAGCCAGTATTTGAAACAACCTTCATCTATGTCACACCATGTATGCGAGGCGCCATATTCTGATAAGGCTATTGTAAGAGGCGTCTAGTTGACATAATGCCTTCTTAATTACGGAACTTATATTTTTAATCAGACACCCCTGGTTGCCTGAGCCGTTGCAGAAGCCGAGGGACGGAAGACTGCTCAATTTAATTCGCAAAAATGATGATTAATCTTGTTGAACCTCAAAAGGAAGAACAAGTGGAGTACGACTGGGAACAGTTTTCCAAGACACCAGGACTGAAGGCAAGTTGTTGATCGGAATGTTTCGATTTATTTAAAAGTGTAACCTATAAATTGGCCAAGCCACGCTCACTTTAGAAAGAAACTGGATATTTTGAAAGATTGAAGACATGTTAAACTCGTTGTTCATGTCCACACAAAATTTCTTCTGTATCGAACTTACCTTGGAGCATAAGAAGATTTCCCAAACATATTTGTGGAATTTTTACTTTTTGCATAAAATTTTACTTACTGCTCTCGGTGTATAGTCCTGCTCCTAGGTGTGTATTCCATACCAAACGCATTATTAACAGAGAGGCTTCTCGTTTTATGAACATTATATATGATCATTATCGAGCAGAAGCACCCCTCATCGGTTGAGAGGTGTTTAGATTAGCTGCGGGAGTGTTCATTTTGTTTGTAGCGACGCACACGCAACGAGTGCATCTCATAGTCTTTCCTGAACGAGCAAAGTTTAGTTCCAACCAAAGCAGCCACCGTTGCTAAGAAAACAGGACCCTCTCTTGGTCCGGCTCGAGGCATATGGAACCAATTCATGATGTTTGCCTTCTTCACAAAAAGTAAAAACCCATTTTTGAGACCGTCGAAGTGTTCAGATGAATTCTGTTAACAGAAACGGGATTGTTTGTAATTCGGGGCAGGATTTTGGTCCTAATTCTGGCGTCAAAGCGTTGGATGGAGGAACTATTAACTACATCTATCGGATAACCAGTGACAAGAATCCCGATCGCACCGTGATTGTAAAACATGGCGACAGTCATGTCAAGGTAAAACATTTTCTTAGAGCGCATTTCAGGCCCTGTAAAATTACTCATGAAATCGCCCACGATTTTTTATTTGGTCGGGTGCTGTCACGTCTGCGAAGACCTGACGTCGTTTTTAGGGTGCGTTCGATTAGCTTACACGTGTAAGTCAAACTTACACCAGAGCGTTTGTTTAGCCACCAAGTGATATTCGTTCCTACTCTGGTGTCAGCCACCACTACCCCAGCAGGCGAGCGGGTCTGTGGAGGCTGCCCAAGTGTAAGACGTCACGGATGAACTGTTTGTGCATATGGGTGCACTGAACTAATTGAAGCCCCATTGAAGACAATGTAAAATCGACCACGTTTGCAGCCCCGGTGCGGGCAACCGAAGTCCCTCAGGTCTCTCAAACAAAAAACAAAGTTTTCTGGGGTCATTCAGCTCTCAATTGATTTTCAATTTGTAGTAGGTTAACCAATGAAATTTTTAATTATCCACCCAAAACAAACTCACCTTCCAAAAAGTGACCGTTCCCAAGTCTGTCAGCGGCCATTTTTCAAATGACATCCCTCCATCTTTTCAGGCTCTTGGGACAATTTTTCAGTGGCATTTTTCTATGCTTCGCCCTGGGATGGGAGCCCTTGAATCTAGGGAGTTCATTCTGGGCCATTCTTTTACAATCCCACAAATTCTTGAGCCACACAATCTCCTCTTTTCCAAATAAACTGTTAGGGGTACTTTTTGAGCGCCTCGGCCTGCCCAAGAATTTCCCTTGAATTGGGCAGTGCATCCATATGGACATGATGGAACATGGCGGAGACTTGACCTTTTTCCCAGAATGCCTTGGCGAATACATTGCAGCGTTCGATTCCCCTCATTTCGAGGCTTCCCTTGCGTGTATACGGGATTAGCTTGAAAATCACAGCAGGCTAATTTCGCAGGGTCAAACAATCATGACGACTGTGTCGACACAGCCTTTGATACTTACTCATCATTCAATAATGTTGTGTATGTGCAGGAGTTCCCCGTATTCGCTTTACCTAAGTTGAGAACGAGAGTGGAATTCTGGGTTATGAAGAAGATGGCGGAGCTTGTTCCTGGATCTGTGCCGATAGCTTATCTGTATCATCCAACACACAACTACAGTAAGTCTGGATCTGAAATTCCTCTGACTTCTCCCTTGACTTAACCACCCTCTCTTGAGTCGATCCGTTTTCAGCATCAAAGCAAGAGGAAACATTTAGGCCTTCTTTGTTTGGCAAATAATCTACATAAATATGTTTTTCTCGGGTAAACATCTGTTTTTGTATTCTATGTGTGCAAATAAATGAGTTACTTTCGACTCTTTTAATCAAGTGTAGTCAAAGCAAGCTTTTAATTTTTCACACTGCATATTAAACTAACCATTTTTCACTATACATATTTAACTGTAGTTGAGTTTAAATTGTAATTCAAATTTCACAGTGGGTACATAAACCGGAATCTCATTTATCTCCAACATATGTTCTGTAATAGTCGTAACCTTGACAACGAGTGTCCGCATATAAATTGGAAAAATGAAGTAGATTGTAAAAACGAAGCATTTACAAAAATAGATCAACTTCTTGATTACCTCAAGATAAATGCTATTAGATTGTATAATTAATCTCTGAACTACGGTTTGACACACTCAAGATGTTATCGCAGTCTTAACGGTTTTCTCGTCTGTTCTCGCAGTTGTCATGGAAGATCTAGGTGGCTATGCTATTCTGCGAGATAAGCTCAATAACGCAGACCTGGATTTATCGATACTGAAGCAATTAGCCGTATTCATCGGGAAATTACACCGTGCAACCCACAAAGCTACAATAAACCCAGCAGAACATCAAGAGATGGTCACCTTTTGCGAGTAGGTTCAAGTGGGTTAGCTTTTCTTTGCCATGTTTCGGGACTTGAAAATTCAGTGTTTCGCCGTGTATTTTTATAGGAAATTTCAAATCATCCAGCCAACGTCGGCACCTTTTCCAAATCTTTAACTGTAGAATTCGGGGCACTTTCTTCCCAATATGAATTCAGCTTAATAAAACTTTGGGAAAACTGAATTTATCGAATTGGGACTAGCCTGCAGTGCCGAGTCTCATCACAGTATTAGTTCATAAAATTAATCCTACAATTTCACAAGAAATTTTGATCTCCGAAACGATTTGTCTAGTTTATTTTGAGAAAGCTTGTTGTTTTCATTATAGAGGAAGGACACAGAAGGAGTTGGAACTCTAACACTTCAAAGTGTCCAATGATAGTCGCCGCAGAGTCAGACGAATAATAGAAAACATTCCAAAAAACATTCCAAAACATTCCTGCATCTTAGCCAGACAAGCAGGGTCAGTAATATCCTAGCAATACTAGTAGTTATTTGCTTGCAATTAAATACAAATTATTGCTGTGACCAGGAAATAGAGGGAGAAAAATCCCTGATATTAGACCTACTTTTGCCATCGTAAATTAACTTTTTAAATTTTGATACACTGTTCCAGTATCCATGCAATATTTGTATAATTTTATTCTCTTCCCTCCAATACATCAGTGTTCAGAGACAAGGTACGAATTTGGCTATAAGACTGGCCAACAGTATGTTGACTTTTACTGGAAAGGTAAATTCATAAATAACAAAGTGCGCTATTTCATCACAGGGAGTGATCGTGAAATCTCATAAAATACGCTTTTGTACAAATGCAATGATAAAAGTGATTCAGACAAAACACAAAACCTTGTAAACAATCGAGCTATTTATTCCTAAAATAACTACAGAAGAAAGAGCTCATTAAGGGAAATGAGAGCACGTATAGATTTAGGACACACAGCGCAATGCAAGCAATTGCGCAAGCATTAAATTTGACGTTGTCATGAGACCATACCAAGCACCAACAAAAGCATGAATATTCAATTTCCTATACCTCAGTTCAGCGACAAATTGCGGCGGTGATTATAGGGTACAAAGGGTTTCTTGGTTGTGAAACAGATGGTGCGTAGCAAGCGTTCGCTGCGCTCTGGCTGTGGATACCAAGCATGCCAGAAAGCGGTAAACGGCCAGATGTTACAGCCCAGGCAGTTAATTCAAACTACTTCTGTTTCCTTTCTGTATGGTTTGATAAATGCCACCGATTAGCAACTTTAAGTATTGTATGTTATAGTTTTGGTATATAATTGACATAATAGGATACTTTTCCAGTCAGATGCAGTTAATGTACAGCTTTCCTTACGATCCAATGACTTGGATTTCCAGTGGATTACCATATTTTGATCAGGTAAATTTTCCACATAGGTTCCGATGGATTACTTACATTGATCAATTGAGTATCCAATCTTCGATCCAATTTTGTGTTTGCATATAGGATCCTATGGGTACCTACAGTTACCATCACGTAGGATCAATTGTGTTCCATGTTTCTGTCCCGTTTATCCAGGCCAAGCAATATGCAGGGTCTAGGAACGAGACACGTCTTTATAGATCCCGTCGAGAGGATGGGTGATGGGAAATACGTGAAGGAAGTGAAGGACTTCCTCCAAGACCCCATACTCGGCAGAAACTGGGAGAAACTCAAGTCCATGTGCCTGACAAAGCATGATTGCTTGGTGCACGGGGATTTCCACACAAGTTCTGTCATGGTCAAAGACTCTACCGTCAAGGTAGATTATCCTTATCAATATCAAAGTGTTCCTAGCCAATAAAATACATCACCCCAACAATGATTGGGTTTGGAGTTTTATACTACTACTGCAAACTGGTGTACTTAGCCGGTCTGATTCAAAATTAAAGCGTGAAAACCTAACCCTTTAAAACCTATCGGGTCATATTAACCTGGAATGCAGGTCCAATGGGAACTGACTCTTTGCTGGATGAAATTACAACCCAGAAATGTTCCAAAAGACCCAATAAGGGGATAATTTTTGTTTACGCGGAAAGGCTGGGTCAGGCTCAACAGCAATCTGACCCGAAATGCAAGATGAACAATGCCAAGGCATTACAGTGGGATACCTGGTAATGTAAACACAAATCTGCCGACTTAATTATTTAAAATCTTTATTTTGATCCAGATTTTTGACTTGGAGTTTGCCCACATGGGCCCAGCTGGGAACGACTTTGGCCACATGTTGGCCAATATTTTCAAAGTGTACCTGGACCACAAGCTTTATCCTCTGAGCGAGGGCTCCACATATTACGTGCGACTAGGAAAGGCCATCTGTGAACTGGGTAAGTTGACAGAGAGAGCTCGTGAGATGAGGGTTAACAACTACCCAGAACCATGATCCTCTTCCAGCCGATCAGTTCAATACAAGTCAGCCAACATGTTATTTCAGAAAGCAAGGTCGTTCGGGAACAAAGCATGCGCGTAAGTTGGTTTCCATTGTGGAGATCAATGACGTAGCTAGAGCCACGCTAATGCGTCCGAATGACCTCAGACGCGCGTAATTTGGGGCATGAGCTGTTGGAATACCGAACTGGTTCATTAACCAGGACTTTGAAGCCACATATGCCTGCCTCAAAATGCAATCAATGCGCATGTTTCGAATTCACATAATAGCGTGTAACTTGGGTTTAATGAGCAAAAACAGACAAACCAATAAAATCTGTAGATTGTATTCTACTGTTGCTGCTGTGTGTGCTCATGTTGTTCTCGTGATGTTTTATAATAACATCGTCTTTTTCTGGCAGTCGACGCATACTTCAAGGAGGCAAGGGAATACCTGAACGATGAAGATTATGCCACGACGGTATCCGAAACTGCGGGATTTGTCGGTGCAAGAATGATTCGAAGGTATAACAAACTACAAAAATCACAGATTCAGTTATCAAATGCATGTGCCATGTTTTGCTGGTCCATAAGTAAAAAAGTCACCAACTTAGTTGGTTCAAGTTTCGGTTGTTCATTTTCAGGGTGTGGGGTTTGCAGGAACTTGGTGAGGAACCCACCCAGCCAGCGACACGGGAGGAACTACTTCGGATAGCCTATCGACTCATCTCTGAATTCGAGAAAATCCAAACACTACAACAGCTGAAGGAATACTTGATTAATGGGAAAGAATAGCTACCCTGTTTGGGTGTACTGATGCGCGAGATCAACATTTCTGGTGCAAAAAAAATACACTGCAGAAACGGTGTGTTAAAGTAAAACAAATTAAAGGGCACTATTAAATGCTACTGTCTAATTTGTTTTTACCTCACTATCTATAACATTCAATACTTATCGGCACTGGTGTTAATCTAGCACTAAAGTTTGTGTAGTATACCAGTGTGACGAGGAAATATGACATTGTTTGAAGATGGCAACACGACTAGAGTTGAAACCTTATATTTGGTTCGTTCAACTGACGTTTAACACACATTACACTAAAGCATTCACCCGAACAAGACCGACCCACGTAAACTGTAATCATATAACACAACACTGAGTTTCAATAAGTGTCACCTCTAAAATCATTTCAATCTAAACGAATAATCAGACAATTGTAACAATTTTTTGTGTGAAGGTCTTCTTGTCTGATTCCAAAGAGGCCCGATAAACGGATAGAAAATTATTCAACAATATAAAAGTATTTTCCAATGTTCTCAGCTTGAAAACACGCGTGCAAGAACTTCAACCGTTAATACTCTGTGCGTCTTTTGTCGTATAAATGATGTTTAAAAGTTTTAAAAATTTGCGTTGAGATTTCTTTTGTATCATTAATCTGTAATACAACTAATCAAAGACACATATATACATTTCCGCTTACTATATTTTGTGCTTGCTATTTTGCAACAGCAATTGAAGAATAACAATAAAATGTAAATTTACAATATTGAATGATTGTGGACTAATATTAGGTTAGTTGGCTTTAGCGTTTTAGTTTAGTGAGCCCATATTGGTTAAAACTTCCCTGTAACAAACCCATTAGTGGTTCTCAGCTATTCTGTTTCATTTCATTGAACCTGCGAAACTCCATGTATAGTTTAGACAAGAAAATCGTTGGAAACAATCGGCATCTGTGTATTTATAAATCAAAGAAAGTTTTGCTATGCTTTAGTTTAATTGGAAAAATAGGAAGTAGCGCTGTAATTTTTATGACTGAAAATCCTGTATAACAAAACATACTTAAGTGATGATGTCACATAGTTCAGATAGCAAAGTAAAGGAATCTTTAATTATATATATAACGGTTTCGCCCGTACCCAACGTATATTAATAAGCACTGTATTCTCAGTGCTTGTCCGAGAGCTTGCGAAAAAACCTCACAAGCTTACTCGGGTGGGACTCGAACCCACGACCTCCTGCTTACTAGTGCAGATAGCACTAGTAAGCAGTAAGCACTAGGCATACAGTGCTTATTAATGTACGTTGGGTATGGGCAAAACCGTTATATATATAATTAACATCTCCCCAACGCAAAAATACATCTTGAAAATAAAGGAATCTTTACTTTATGTTCCTCACAATGTAACGAATCTTATGCGTTAAGGCGGCGTAAGAGACTATTCTTTGTTATTTTAATTAAGTTACAATGAATGCACAAAAGGTTTACTCGATCCCACAGGAAGAAATATCCTCTAACCTGACGTCATATCCGGTTCCTAAGTGGAAGTCCAATTCAGTTCAAACCACGCGCACAGCACACAGAGCTACGTGGAACCATGGAGCGGGAAGATCATGCACAACTTGAGGGCTTATTCCATCGAAGCTTGCAGTCAGCGTTGCTTCTGCGGCAGGGTGTCGAAGTCATCACTTACGAACCAGACAGCAAAATATTCATAATTGTGATGTAACCTTAGTGCTAATGATTCTGAAAATTGAACAGGATAAGACAACCACTGGTTTGCAGAGCTGGAATCAGGTTTTCATACGCACAGTATTTGCACTCTTAGTAAACCGTGTACACTGTACATAATATTTCTATGATAATATTGTGAAAATACATGTAGAAGATGTTTCCTAAATGAAGTTCAGATATGTCGCACGCACATTGCTTTTATGTAACAACAGGTTGGAGAGCTGCTGTCGATCTGCTCGGCCTGAAGAATTAAAAGACAGTCAGAAAAAGGCAAACTAGAGATTTTGTCGGTGTTATAACTGGAGTACATTTTACAAGCGGTACTTGGGGGCCTCAATTTTTTTCGGGGGGGGGGTCCTCTAACATGCTAAATATTTCGGGGATCCAAGCCTTTGTCAGGCTCACAATATGTTGTGCATGCATCGCAGTAATACAAATACACACAATTCGTTTCCAGAAAGAGCCCATAGCATTCTTTGCACATGTAGTCCATAGCATGTGCGCCAATATGCGACTCCGTCTCTACCTGCTCGAACATTATCTTTCTGGGCACCTTAGAAAACCCATATATCAGCAAGGTTGTTTCCTTTTCTGCACTATTTGGTGAAAACGCACTTCATTGTTTGATAGGACTTTAAGAGACAAAAGTGGTCAATTATATTCTCTATCGTAAACTGTATGTACCTAGGAAGAAGGCGTGACGGCATGCAGTGCTGAGTTCATTGGACGAAAGGGTTTGGTTGCAGACGGACGTCCCTTGTACGTATCGTTACGTTTTTGAAACTGTCTTTGCGTCTGGGTAGGCAAAAACAAGAAACGCCAACATTGCTTAGAGTGATGGCATTCAAAGCAATGCTGGTAAGTATAGATTCCTCCAATATGTTGTTAATGATATTCTTCGAGACGCTTTTGTTCACAGATGGTGGGCAGTTGATTCCAATGATTTGACATATCTCTGTGGTTCTTTTGGTTGTGATTAACTTCTGTTCTTTGACAACATCATCGTCCATCAGCACTAAAAGAGCAGGGTGGACTCCCCCTTGACATTTTCTCTAATATCGTGGTATAATTGCTTTGTTCCGAGCCTTTGGAAATTTTTCCAGAAATGTCTTACGATCACTTTGACATCAATTTTACGAACATTAGTCATACTGTTCTCGCGAAACCTCCATTTTCCCCATGCAGTGGTACATCTAGGTTTCGTTGCAGGAGGGACAAAAGTGGATTTTTAAAACCCACCTACCCCAAAGAGAGGTGGTAGCACACCGTTTCGAAGGTGTAAGCACATTGCATTCCAAAACCAAAATTACAGAATGTTTCCAGGGCAGCTTTCCCCCTCCCTCAGTGTTCGATATGTTCACTTTTTTCCGCATGCAGCAGGCACAGTGCATTAGGGCCAACTCACGTGAGGCTGTGAACTTGCCTTATAAATATTCATAACGAATTCTGCCATGGGTTGAATTGAGATTCCACAGATGCGTGCACAAACAATGTGCTCACAAGCACTGTAAAAAGAAGTCACCTAGTCAAGAGAGTTTTAGATTATTTCTGTCAACACAAAAGAGAAGAACAACATCGGAAGCCCTCCGGACCATGAGGTCCTGTACCTTTTAAGAAAAATCAAGGAGTATGAAACACTTATTGTTCAGCCAATAACCCAACTGTCAAAATTTCAGCTGCGACATTGAAGAGCAGAAAAAGTCAGCGACCGCTGAATATTCAAGTAGATCAAATATGGTAGCACTGTGCGAATGAGTTGACAGAAAAGATGTCTATGTTGTAACTGCTTTAGCAAAGATCCTACAAGTTAATAATTAAGCTTCATCAGAATCATTCTGATTGCCGTCCCAAGGGACCCAACTATGCCTTCCGACTGTCTTACAGGCCACGAACAATGTACTATGTAGTCACGCGGAGAAGTTGTTTGCCAAAAGTTCACGGTCATTTGAAGTCCATGCATGCCGCGCTACAAGGCACAGAACAACGAAACTACAATCCACTCAATTCTTGGAATTGTTGATCCTTAATATGTCAGTCTTTGTCGTTGGAACCCCCAACTGAGTTGGGATGAGGTTTTCGCTACGTGCTATGAGTCTGTCAACACAGAAATGATTAAGTTATCTACCATTATATATTGATTTTTTTAAATTGTTGCAGAGCCAGAGACGAATAATGGCAGTTTACTAAAGTTACGTAAGACAATAATGTAAGACATTCAATTAACCTTACAACCTGCAAGTGAATCTATCACTGGAATTGAATGGCCTTTGATATCAAGTGTGGTTTGTATTAATATAATCACCTCTCAGTCTCCGTGGTCCTTGGTTCGATTCTTGGCCCTTATAGCTCTACGAGTATAGAGTTGTTTGTTGGTTGTCCTTCGTGCCGCAATGGTGTTTCTACGGGTTTTCTGGCTTCCCCCTCCGCAAATGTCGACACTTATCCGGCGGTGCTTCATGAGCACCTGAGTCACCTTCACATACCTTTGGCTGTAGAACTGGTTGTGATTGTGTCTTCGTTGGAACATACACGTACATCGTGTGAAACATTATTATTGAACGGTATTAAATTTCAAAGAGGAAAATCGGCAATGAAAGGTTTTTCGAAGTGAATGCCATTGGTTGAATTTCCCATGAAGAAAATGATATTTTTGACAGCGAGTTTGCAGTTTCACAAAGTGCGAGACGCGCTGGTCACAGAAGTGTCGTTTCAAACCTACTGTGTTTTTGTTTAGAAGTGCTTAGAAATCGGACGACCTCGAGTTGTAAATTTGCTGACGTGTGATGGTTCATCCCTCCCTTGCAAGAAAGTGTCGGGGAGATACACAGTACCCCCACCCACTCGATTTACGCCCATTGATGATCAGTGTGAGGACAAAAAAAGGTACATCACCCGATCCGACTACCCACCGCTAATAGTGCTAGTGAGGCCTGTGCAGCAAAATAGCCATGCTCTAACTATGATGCTAATATGTTATCGTTTGATGTAATACAGTGGATAAACTTGTAAATGAGGCTTGTTCGAACCTTCTGCTTGCAAATTTTCTTGACACTGTTAAGCCTCATTTATAATTGTGCCAATGTATTGCATCATACGAGAATATATTAGCATCACGGTTCTTGCAGGCTATTTTGCTGCACAGGCCTCACTTATAAGTAGCGGTGGGTAGTCCGGTCGGATGCCATAGCGCCCTCTTACGTCCACACACAATGCTTGAACTTCAAAGCGGGAATGACGCTGGTAGCAAAATTGAACCTTACACCGCTGACACCACGTAATTCATATCGACAAAGTAAACATGGTACACAGGTCGATTGCGTTGGGTCACAGTATGCATAAAGCCTGGTATTCCTTGAGTTTATTGCTGCGTATGAGGCCTGTTAGTTTGAGCAGTGGATGCCATTATGATCCGTGCGATCTTACATTCCTGGGAGATGTTTTTGTAATAATGTTGAAACCTTTTAGTGAATTTTGTAATAAAAAAAAGTTTGGGGATTTTGTTAGAAATTGGGAAGCATATTAATTGATTCAGATCAAAACCCTAGAAGCCGTTAATCACCCGAATTAGGCCTGCCGAAGACTCCCTCTCCCATAACCACTATGAGTGTACTGAAGGAAACAGAAAAGTGTAAAAAAATAAAGAAAAAAAAGTTGATATGATAAATACAATGAGCTTATAGGAGATATAAAATCACAAACATTTCTCTTCGAGTTCTCTCAGTGGTATTTCATGAAACCAAAGGTTGAAGTACTCGACCTTTAGCCCATATGTAAAACAAATCTATCCGAAACATGCCTAATATTCAAATCGGTATAAAAACTGCTCCCAGTCGGGTTTAGGGTGTTGTCGGTAAACACGTTGAGAGGTTCAACATCCAGTCGTTATCAGCGTCGTCATTTTTATCGCAATATCCGTATTCATAAAACCCTCTGAGTAAACAGGCTATTAGCAGTCTAGCGGTTGTGACAGCAGACCGGAGTTTATGCTGGAAACTAAATACGAGATGTATGACGCGTGCATAAGTATCACGTAGTTGTGTTTCATTCTACACGTCCATCTTGTGCGAAGAAACTTGTGGAACTAAGCAAGGCTCAGGATACGCAAGTATGGTTTGGTTCAGTAAAAGTTTGGTATAGGTCTCTGATGCATGTGTGATGAAAATTGGGACGATACCTTTTAGAGATAACCTGTATTAATGACATACGAAACTTACCAGAATACTGGAGTTACAGTGCAGCTACGTGTATGCAGTTGCATTTATTTATAGAGATTCTGGAAAGGATCATAAGTGATAACAAGAAATTTAGTTTTCTTGAGAATTTGTGTGGACAACTTTTTGACAGCCATACAACAGTGAATGTTTTCATTTGTCAATTGTAATTTCTGCAAAGATGTGTTGCAGGAATTTGTGACAAGCAGAATTACATATGAGAAAAAACATTCATCGGCATGTTGTGACTAACAAGTTGGACTGTTTACGCAAAAATCATTACTATTTGCTCTTTTCACGTTGCCACCATAGGCGGGGAGAGCCTCGGTCATGGCTGTCTATAGTGGTTCGCGGTTCACTGGACCAGCCATATTTTTTGTGTAATGCTGCCACTTCGAGGCTCTCCGTGCCTATGGTGGCAGCGTGCAAAGAGCGAATATTGGAGCAAATTTTTATGCATGGGACACAAATCTCGCAGATTAGGACCTTAGGCCCATGCGTTTCTCGCCCCAAGTTCCTTCTTCTGCTGACTCGCACTTTTCTACAAGTAAATTATGACATAACCATGGTACATTTTCGTGACTGTACATGTAGTCTGTCAGTAGGGTAAAAACTGGAAGGGGGGGGCACAAGGACTGTGTTCGCCATTATAGCGCCATCATTGTCCTAGTAGGAGCCACATTTGAAACTATGCTCCACTTTAAGCATGTAATCTACCAAACTGCTCCTGGCATGTTTTAATTGTGACTACATTAATTAATTGTTTCAACTGGACCTACTATTCCATTTTTGGTGAACTTTAGTGATAATAGCTAACAAGACGGTCCAGTCGTCCAATTTGATTGAAATTACAGCATTATTTCATTTGTAATTTGTTGTTATTTTTGGTCAGCAAAGCAACAATTCTCCATCAAGCCTCCTCCCACACACATTGTGATAACACAGTTGAAAAACAAAATAATTACTGGGGCTGGTACTCGGTCCGGATTATTTTGTCTCTTTGTCATCAGCCATACATCCAGACTAATTTCTTGCAAAGGTACACACTGTTTGACTCTGTGGGCACATTCCATGCGTTGATGCAGTATAAATCATGTCTACCCAATAAATGTCAAGCCCCGTGTGCAGTGTTGTCGTGCGGCCGGCCATCGATCAATTGTTCTTTAGAATTCACACCATTTCAATTGCCTTGAACAGGTTAATGATTAACAAAATGTACCTGCACGTTCCAACGAACGGGAAAATGGGATTAATAACTGTGTTTGCTTATCCAGAAACAAAATCTTTCTGCATTTAGAGCAAAAATTATAGTAAGGCTCGTACTCAACTCTTCAGGTTTATGAAGTCGTGTGACACTGCTTTTCCCTACACATTTTAATGAAACGATTACTTCTCCAATCTCCAGGATGGTTTTGGAATTCGCTTTGTGAGCTCAACTGATAATCCGAGGAATATTGAGCGCCGTAGGCTTATTCCCTAATTGCAGCAATGTGGTTTTGCTTGGACTACCGAATTGAAACCTTAAGGCCTAAAAAATGTAATTTCGAGTTACAGAGGAGAAAGTGGTGAATTTCCGATTTTTTTCTTCAGCCTAAATGTTTACTTTATAATCTTAATAATCTGTTTTCCCTACAATGTATAGACTGAGCGTGTGTTGTGATTTTTCATGCTTTACTAAGCCCTGCTGTTTTTCTACAATGAACATTCTGTTGATTACAACATTGACTCTGGCAACCTGTCTTCATCTTGCCAATGCAGGTAGGTCTTAACTTGATTCCTTCCATTTGAAATCAGTCACCCAAGTTCGGTTTTACAACAAAATTCTAGCTATCGTCACTGTGAATAGCCTACAATTATCCGCCCTTTCAAACAATATCCCACCTTGCCTTTATTAATAAAACTTTTCCTCAGACTTTATGAGGAGCTGTTTCATACGGAAGCCCGTTAGGGCCACGGTATATTCCTCTATCACGGCGGTGTGTTTCTCTTTCACGGCGGTGCGTTTCTCTTTCGTTGTTGCCAGTAACTCGCGGCCGCGAGTCAAGCAACAACGAAAGAGGAACACACCGCCGTGAAAGAGGAATATACCGTGGCCCTAACGGGCTTCCGTAGTTTCATCCCACCATCTTGACAAGTAAGACTTTTAGATGTACCGTAATGATTTTGGTCATCAATCGATCAGAGGCTGACTGTTGTGTCTAGCGGGGAATTAGACACAGTGATACCTAATATACAAACGCATTTACCAACGGGCATACAATAACGGGAGTGAAATCGTGGGCAATGTCAGCCTCGTCCTCACGAAGAGGAATATTGAGAATTAACTAATAATGGCGCAGTTGGACGATAATCATATGGGGAACGCATCTCCTGCCCGTATCTGCTTTAGCCAATGTATGTATCTTAGTTGACTTTATAAACCTAGGCTATCAAATTTAATCTGACTTTTACATTTTAGTTAGAAAGTTAAAACGAATTAATAAGAAATAAATAAGTTGAAACTTTATGAACACCCAACAAAACTTCATGGAATTTCACGACAAAAGATACTTGCTCTGGTTTCCCGATTTCGTGATGTTGCCTATGGGCATTTGGGCAGTGCAAGACAATGGACTCCACACTCAGATATCAGGATAATTTTCTTTCCTTTTTATCCCAAACCGGCACTTACACATTCATTGCAACTCTGACTATTGGAATCAGACAAGCCACTCTCAGTATAAATACCCATAAAAGACAGCTGCCAAAGCGGCATATCCAGCTTTTAGGGGAATGGGGGTGTCAACATGATGTCGGGGAGAAGAAAAAACCCTACTCACAGTCCCAACATCCTTGATTTTATTTGCTGGTGTTGTATTCTTAAGTTAGCCTACTTTATGACAAAGGGACTTTGCAGGTTGTTCTGGACGTGTGCGTTTCCACGTATCAACTTCTGCCTGCAGATGGTGACCATTTTACGTTGAGCCGATATTCGTCCCTCTCTTGAAGAAGGGTTCAAAGCGCCCTGAATTTCCGATTAAAGACAGGTTTACAAAATTGCCAATTATTGCTACGAATACCTCGATTTATCCCGAATAAAAGTTCTTGATGGGCATCTCGATTCCCTGTTTGTATCAGAGTGATTCAAGAACCAAAGAGGAATAATCAAGAACAATGGGTACCGGTACACACTGAAAGCCAAATGAACAACAACAAAAATATTGTGGCATTTTTGTCAGGAATAAGTTATGAAAAACTCCATATACGAATATCCGGAGTAAGTTCAAAATACAAGAATAAGCCAAGAATTGGTGCTTCAAGTTGTTCTAAAATCACGCAACAAGTTTGAATATGACCCAAATTGTCGGTGTGCTACCCAATCTTTAACGATTATTCACCGAAGTACCAGGATCATCCTATCAACTGCATGATAGTTGCCTCCACGTTAGCAGCACCGCTTTCCATAATTGTGCTCATGACAGTCAACGATACGATGCATTACTTAACTCTTGATGTAATAACAGTCTGTTTTGTTACTTCTGGACAGAATGTAAGTTCCTTTGTAATGGACAAGATTGCAGGCCTAACACGAATGTTAACGTCGACGAAGAGAGTTGTAAGTTCCTTGTTACAAGACGTTATATGATGCCTTTGCTGTGGTCTTGAATATGAACAATATACATGTAGATTTAGAATTCGTGCTTCATTTTCAAATGTCACTTTTGAACCTCTATTGACGGCAGGGTTCATGTTTTTCTTGAATTGATGGCTGTCTTCTTAGTATCACTTTTTATAGCAAATATAGTCACCTTTTAGGTTCCCATTTCAATTAACTTTACTTTCCTGGGGGTTGTCTATGATACAGCGGGACCTCAGGATGTGTACCAAGTTTTCGTCACCAATGAAAGTGCCCCAATCGTGGAGTACACGAACTGCACCGGCGCCCATTGTAATAAGTTTGAATTCGATGATGCCGATAAAAAAGTAAAAATGATTGACAACAGCGGTAGTCTTCCTGACTTTGATGTAAGTCTGATTTCAGCTAATGTCTTCCATTTGACATTGATTAATTAATAATTTATAACTTCATGAAAAGTGGTCATTTTGCAATGATGTCACTGTGATGAAAATCTGTAGTACTGTTTTTTTAGACTGAGCTTACACAAAGACATTAGATTTTTACATGCAGACCACTTCCACTGTACGGAGTACCGCTGTGGAGATTTTAGGTTAGTTGTGCTGGTGCATACACCTACATCTTTTTGTCCTGCAATGGTGACCTCATGTTGCAACTCAAGCTGTGACCCAGACATCCTCCAGCGGCTGATCCCGTGGAGTGAATTTATTGCAGTTGTGAATCACGGTGGATTTGGATGGATAGTAAGGCCTGTCCGAAGTTGGAGTTCCTTTTTGTTCTCTTTTGGACCTCTGAGATTGATGTTAATATGAGACCGACTTAAGGTAATTTGGCAAAAGGAAGGAACTGTATAGTTAGCAGGGAGTGATTCAAACACTCACCGAAAATACTCTTCACTTCAAAACGTTCTGTTTCAAAATTTTCAGGCTCAATCCGGCTCGCCGATTCCCGAGCTTGTAGCAACGTTTTCTTTAAAATGCGAAGACGCTACACTTGTGAGTAATCTATAATGGACATTTCTAAAAGGTTTTTCTGAATTTCATATAAACTATGCTTATGTGTCACCATGCCTAACAATCATTTGTGGCAGGGTTGTAGTCTAGTACCAGTACTTCTTCAGAGTACAAGTACCAATATACTTTGTCATGCAGCTAGGAGTTCATTTTCAAGAGTACAGGTAAATGACCTACGCTGTTCATGAGCTTTCATAAGCACAAGCTCTTTGTTAAAATTAGTAAAGACGAGAGGAGACTTCTGGAGGCCACTTGAAAGCAAAAACCAAGCGGTAATGTCACCTAGTGTGATCATGGTATGAAAATGCAGAGTGCGTGAACGCCTTTTGCAGGTGAACTGGATGGAAGTCTATGCCTAAAATCGCGGCGACATCTTCAGTTAGTTTAGGCTTCAGTTCCATGATAACATTCGTGAACTTAGGCTGTCAGGCTCAACGCAGCTGCATTTTTGACATAATAATTTATCAGACTGTGGAATATGAGGACAGAGGTTTGAATAATTTGATTTTGACCTAACATGACTCAGAAATTCCGGAGATGGACCTTATTATATTTGAACACAGATAGAATGCAAAGATATCATCGCTCAGATGGTGTAGTTTCTCATTGGGACCTCAATCCATTTTCTAATGTTCCAGCTAAGAATCGACTGGCTATGAACATAATTTATGGTCACACAAATTATTTGTTTATCTTTTACCACTGAACAGGACGTAAGCATTCGGACGCAGAATATTAATGACAATTTGGCCAAATTTGAAAACGCTGAATACAGTGCAACTATCCCGGAGGTATGGAAAGAGACGTTGAGTGTGGGTTTCATTGTTGTCTTTAATTTGAATCGTTTTCCGTGTCTGTAATTTTTTCTTGTGTCCTTTTGCTTTATCGACTAATTGTTATTTTGTTCTGTTTTGCTGCTAATTGATGCCTACCGGTATTAATCCATTTTAGGGATTGTTAACAAAACAACGAAGATAAATTGCTTATCAATGCAGAAGCTAATGGTATGAAAGTTGTATTCTTTTGTTCATTTACTAAAGTACGGGGAGAACAAAACAAATCACCAAAACTGACCAATTGAATTATGGCGATGTCTGTGATTGTTGTTTTGGGTGGTTTTAACTTGTGGTAAAGGTGATTGTGGCTGTGAAGGCTTGAATTTGTTGTTTTGAAAGTCTTGTTTCGGTAGTTCTACGATCCCATTAGTTAGGCTTTAACAATTGTCTCATTATGGTTTAATCCTTGTTCAATTTATTTTTTGCACAGTTAACGAAGACAGGAGTAGTTGTCCCATTAGATGACATCATTCTGACGGATGAGGATCGCTCAGAAGAGAATTTGAACATCAATCTTCAAGACTTGAATGTAATACCACTACATACACTTTCAACATAACATTTCCTCAACATTGTTTATATATTTCTGTGACTTTAGGTCCATATCAGGCTCGTTTTCTCGTTGTGACGTTTGATAACAAACATTAGGACTTCAGCACAAATTGTGTGTTACTGCAATGTAGTGAAGTAATTGCTAACCAGAAACCCGGTCTTGCAAGACATTTCAGTTCGGTTTCAAAAGAAACGATTTTACTCTGGTTTTAGAATTTCTAATGATCTTTGAGTTTAACAAGTTAAGAGGCTTGTGATTTCCAAAAGGTTATGAACATATACCCCATGATACTTCAATTATCCTGTTGTTTGTTTCTTACAGAACGATGAAATCCCGTTCCAGTTTGAGGCAGACTTTGGCAGTCTTATTTCCACTGACAAAGTGACAATCCGGATCAAAGTTAAGAATCCACCTGCCGTCGATTTTGAGCGGCATCCAGGCTACATATTGACACTCTCTGTTAATGTAAGTGGAAAGACTCAATTTAAGTCAGACTGTTTCCTCAGTTTTTTCATTTTCTTTCTTTCCTGATGCCTGTAACATGCTTTTAAGCTTAGCAAATTGTTAATCTCACAGAAACCTCAATTACCCAATTTTTTTTACAGAGGCGGGAAATGTATTTAATCTAATGTACTTTGATATATATCATTGCACGCTGGGAAGGATGATTAAAGTATATTTCAATATAATCAAAAAAGTTCTGGTTTTGTTTTATAACCACAAAATAATAGTTCTTTATCATGTAGTCACAACTCTTAAACAATCACATTACACGCAGTCCAAAACTTATGTTTTCCAAATTTCCTTTCTCAACGAAAGGATACCCAAGTTGGACCCTACCAAAACAGTGTAACAACGGCCACTTTGAACATCACCATTGAAGACTTGGATGACAAGGACCCAAGGTTTTTGAATGACTCCTACATGGCCACAACAAGTGAAGGATACACTGGTCCACTCGAGGTCCAACCGCCAATCGAAGCCAAAGACCAAGACTCCTTAAATATTCCTGTCAAGTACAGTATCGCAGGTACAATTTATTTCCTCACAGATATACTTTTAGATTTAACAAGAACTGTTGGTAAAACAGGAAACATAGGTTTAACAGGAAATTTATCAAGTATAATTGAGGTTGGTTGTATACCCGAAATATTGAGTAAGGCAACTGAAATAATGCGTGCTTCATCCAATGGACCAGTTTTGAGTGAGAATTTATACCTTTCTGACCATTTTCCATGGGTGTGTAGGTGCTGCACCCTGTTCGTCAGGTAGTTTTATGATCGATGAAAACCAAGGTAACATTAGTGTCATCAACGCCGTCCTGGATGCTGGCGAATGTGCGATTCAGCTTCGGGTAAGTGCATGCATTGTACGGTACAACAGGCCAACACATATATCAACACCCATTGTCAACGTAAATTTCATAGAGTGGATAGAAACAAATACATGTACATATATGTGCACAAATCACTGACTCATATCGCTAACAGTACCTGAGTGAGAAAAAGAGTAAAAACAAAGAAGACAAAAAAAAAGAACTGCGACGTCCTTATCAAACCCTGTATTCCACGAAATCCGGATCGACCGACTTATACTTGTTGCCATGCTAATCTCTATTGTCTGAATTTACCCGCTGCATTGTTATGTACTGACCACGTACTGCCCTTGCCAAAATCACCACTTTCGTTTTCTCCTTTCTCAATGTCCTTTTCAACCCCTTCTCAATCCTTTCTTAATCATTTTTCAAACTTTTCTCAATCCTCCCTCATTCCTTTCATCTTTCTCTATCCTTTCTCAAACTCGTTGAAAACCAGGCGGAGCAAGCAGACGACGATTCCCGCTTTGCCACAGCTATACTTGTTCTAACCATCAACGATGTGGACTCAAACTGTCCCTACTTCGTCGACAAATCTATCACCGGTAGAATTGATCCTGATGACAGAGATGCTTATGTCATCGACGGAGTGGATCTTTTGAGCCTTGAAGCGAAGGATGACGACAAGGTTTAAGCCAAACCAAAAGAAAAGATGTATTGATACACATTGGGCTTCTTTGGGAAGGCATAGCCAATCTCGACTTATGGACAGGAGAGATATCTAACTAATAATCATAGATATTCAGCGGTCTGTATAAGTAAGATTTTGCTATGACGAACATGAAATGGTATAGGCAAAAAAAGTTTGGGGATGTAATTTGAGCGTACCAAAATGTGTACGAAAAAGACAAAAGAGATAAAAACATAAAAGGTCGTCTTATATTAGGGAGGCTTGGGCCGAATTTTTTAGAATTATTCTCAATGGAAGATTAAATTACTTCATTGTTTTTGAATCTTGCTTTGCACGGACAAGGATAACCTCCAATTGGGGTTCTGTTAAGGCTCACTCACGATAAAGGCCAATACATGCGGACGTGATTTTATTTGCCACTCAATATTTCACTTTAATATGTTTGCTCCCCGCGAAGAAAGTTTATCGATTCTGCAAGGCTATTAAACTGAATATATTTTTAGGTATTGAAATGACATGTTAATGTTACATTCCGCAGGAATTCGTAGGGAATATAACCCTTTCGGAGGAGAATCACCCATTCCAGTTGGTAATAAGTGACGAGACAAGCAACCCGCGCATTGTACGTTTCAAAGTAAAGGAGACACTTTCCTTGGAAGTCAACCAAACTTACAGTCTACAGGTAACATTCTTATCGGGGGCTGAAATATAACAATGCTTATTTAAAGGGCCGCCGGAAACAGAAAAATCTTACTACAGGAAAAGGCAGTCAACCAACAAAATTATGGTCCGCATGAAAATAGCTCTTGATTGTTTCCTGAGTACATTATACTTAGCATGATGGGTTAACAAGTTGAACTGCTTCTTCAACAAGCTATCCAATCCTGCTCTAAGGTGAACACGTTTTCTGATCATCAACTACAGGCTCATGCGTGATAAAAATGCAGGCAAACATTTCACAAGCCAATTCTCTTTTGTTCGCCTTTACCATTGCAATACTGAGAAAAGTTACAAGAGAAAAGTAATGTACTGGCTCATTACAAAGACTTCCAGAATACAACCTGGGATGATATTCCTAGATGGAACTCATGACAATTAAGTTGACAGATTTTTTATTTTTGTCTCCTTTCTTTAAATATCTAGGTTGAAGCACAATCCGAAAGCTGCTTTGACGCTGCCAGTGTTAGCATTACAGTTGCAAACCTGGATCCTGTTTACAATAAAACTAGATATGATACCACTATAGAGGAGGGTCGAGTTTACAGTGATTCTATACTACAGGTGAGGAATCTGCTTACGATTACGAGATATGGCTAAGACATAGCCATGCCTACCGTATCCGAATACACAGCAAAGTTATTCCTTGAGTTGAATATAACAAGATGAGTTCGAATTGTGCATACCATGCGCCAATAATGATTTTGAAATCTTTCCTGGTATGTCCTTAAGGTCACCGCGGAATCCAGTGCCCCGCCAGGAGAAATAACCTACGTTTTGAAGTCGGCTACAGATGGTGGTGATAGTTACTTCTCTGTGGATGCCACATCGGGTGAGATCAAGGTTCCGGAGAAAACCGACGCAGAGGAGGTGGAAAGATTCATCCTTTTCATCGAAGCTCAGGATAACATGTGGCAGCCGGCAAGGTACAGAGTATAAGCAAGCATTGTATATCATGCAGTACCAAACAGGAACCTGTCCTGGGAAGTGGGGTCAAAAAGACCAGTGAAATGATTTCATCAACCAAAATCAACAATGATTTCTCTTGACGACAGAAATTCACAAAACGGCAGCAAATTTAATCGTTACCACAATACCAATAAGATTAGGCCACCAGAAACATCAATGGAAATGGCTTCAACCACTAACGTCAGTATATCAGTTGGGTATTTAAAAAAATAAGGTCATTCGGGAACATGAACAAAGCACGGGTCCGGAAAGAGCCGTGCTAATTGGGCAGACCCCACAGCGCGTCCGAATGACCCTGGACGCACTTCATTTTGGGCATGCGCTGTTGAAATACCGAACTGGCTTATTGAAACTATCAATATAGACAGCAGCGTTCGCAAAAAAAGAAAAGATTCATCAGTAACTAAATGATAACACAATGCAAGCAGCAACAAATCGAAAAAGCAATTATGACTTCATCAACAACACCGTAAACGCAACAACAGCAACATCAACTACTCGCTACTAATTCTTAAATAACAATTGCAACATTTAAATCAACTAAATAACAACACCCATGGCAACCTAAGAAACAATTGGCCCAAACACGTAGATGAAGTGGACCTGTGGCTTTTTTTTATAAAAATAAAAAAAATCAACAAAAGAGACACAAAGTGCCACAATGTTTTGTTTTTACCTTTCATTTCTATTACTTTATGTCACCAAAGGATTTCATTCGCCAACGTGTATGTCACTGTCAAGGATGTCAATGACAATGTCCCAGTGTTTGAAGACACGGCATACGACAAAAGCATACCAGAGAACTACGAAGTTGGTGACCTGGTTCTAACTGTCAGGGTAAGTTACTCTGAAAATCTCCTCTTGTCACCAATTCAAACACAGAAAATAAAACAAGAGTTTATTTCCAAAAAGAGATAAATACCGTTTTGGTCCTTCTCTTTAAGAATTGCACCTTCCCGCGGTTGTCTCCAGCCAGTTTCTGTGGTTGTTATTTTGTTAAAAAAAAAACTAAAGTAGTAAGAACAGTGAAAATAACATTTAGAAAGCTTAACCTTAGACATGGCCTGCTCATTTTGTTTTTAAACATTCAATATGTGGAAACATTGCGCAATGTTTGAATGGCGTTAATCTCATTTGGGAATGAAAACCTCGTTAGTATTATGACCTCCATAGCTATCAAATTGACTTGTCTAGCTACATTGTACATCTCTTGTACTTTTTATGTATAGACTAATCCGATTAGACGCCATACTGCCGTGGCATCGCACTCACACGCACATTTTTCAGCTTGACGCGCGTGTGGTTTGGCAAATCATGACGCCCTGTTGGTCGAAGAGGCATGTAACGCGCGTACCACCTGTCTACGCGCGTTGTGCTACCACAGTAATGGCTTTTAATTCTGGTGGTCGAATTACACTATATTTTGTCCATTAATGTTCGATTCCAAGAACACAAAGTTCAGGTGTAATCCTCCATTACCGTTCAACGCAAGTGAATATTTCAACTAATGCGTATTAGCAGTCTACAACTGAAAAACAAGGTTGAGAAATGCATTCCCTCAAAAGTAGCATTTGCTTCTTGGGTCAGTTTTTACCTCGCTGGCTTTGAAAGTCGATTTTCAAGGTCCATTGTCCACCACATTTGCTTCCTATAGGTTTTATCTTCTCTATCTTCTTCCTGTTTTTCAGGCTCGAGATGCCGATAGGGATGACGTCTTAGAATACATGATTGATGTACCTGACTTACCATTTGTTATTCGCAGTGAAACGTGAGTCTTCAGCGCTTGTATAAAACTACTCGAAATGTACTGGTTTGATAAAGGGTTTCTCTGCTGTTTTCTAGTGCTAGGCCTATACTTTTGCTGTCTTTGTGCATTTTGTTGTTTTAATAGAAATTATTTAAATACACTTGTTAACCCTGACGGTTAGGGTTAATTATGGAAGTTTTCCAAATAGACATCAGATGATAATGTGTTAATTCTTTTGTTTAGAGGTGAAATAATTCTGAATAAAACTCTGGACGTGGATGCTCCTAACAGTCAAGCAGAGTACATGTTTGCTGTCATCGTTTCGGATGGTAACGAGGACCATGTAAGTCCAAGCCAAGGGTCAATTCAGAACCAAATTTTCGGGGGCAAGCTTTTTGAAGAGAAAGGTGGAAGTTTTAGAATGTAACGTTTCATAGTCTTTCTAGGGGAAGGCTACATTAAGACCTTTCGGTCACTTTGAGAAGGAAGAGAAATGAAATAAGTTAGTGGGGAGGGGGCTCTACCCCAGCCCCCTTCTTCCTTGTCTAAGTCTCACCACGAAAAAGCAACATAGCAATTCTCAACAACAAAAGCGATGCTTAAAGAAATACAGTCGAAATAAGAAACAGTTAAAAAGCTACAACATACCTGGATTTGTGCTAAATACTTTTATGTATTTGTTTATCTGCTTGTTCAATGGTAGGATCAGTCTGTCAATGTAACCATCAGTGTCCAGGATGAGAATGACAATTCACCAGTATTTGATGGCGAATACAGCTGGGATTTAACAGAAGAGGAATTGATAAACTACGAAGTATTTCAGGTAGGAACTTACTCTAAGCCGAAAAGAAACTTGTAAATGTTCATTTCTCATTCAGAAATTAAATTTGTTACACTGAGCTGTATTTCGCGTAAAAGTACATTAAGCCGACTATACATAATGTTAAAGCCTACGATCTGTTTGTCTCATTTTTGTTGGTTTAGGTGTTCGCTACAGACGCGGATGTAGACACTGAACTAACTTACTCTTTGGAATACACACCAAACAACAAATACACCTTTGAAATCCTGAATGACCAGGTTTGTGTGGACAGTCCTCACCGGAAATTGTAATCAATGAGGTCAGTGACCTCAATGTACGAAAGAGGCCTCAGGTGTTGAAACATCATGACTGAGAACAAATTCCAGAGTGAAAGTGTCAATTACAATTTTATTACGCGGGCCTGTAAATTTCATTCAATTGGCCTGTCTTGATTGAAAAGCAACGTTTCAGGTCATAAAAAAGAATAACTAGAAAAATGGCGGCTTGCCTAGGCATTGCCTGACGGAAACTGTGTAGGCCTATCCAAAAGTTGAAATAGTAGCCGACGAATAAAGCTCAAATTATGGCATCAAAATGGTTCGATCTCAGCTGTACAACCATTTAAAAAATGTATTTCCCAACTGCAGGTTGGCAACATAACTGTGAATGGTACTTTTGACCGGGAGGAACAGAGTGAAGTAGAGGTGACGGTGAGAGCAAGTGATGGTTTGAATATTCCAGTCAAGAAGGTTAGTCCTCCTTTTTTTCAACTCGTAATCCTTACTTTTATTATTTCTGTCGTCGTCCCGTTTTGTGGTCTGAAATGTGACAATCTACATGTATTGTTTTGTACCTTTGTGGATTTTTTTAAAGAAACAAGGTCGCTTCCAAGTTTTTTTTATTGAGAGGCATATTTCGTCATTCATGACTGCTGTTGTCAGTTTTACAATTTGTTTTGAAAGGAAATGTTTTCTGTTTACATTTTGGATATGATAGGTGAAGTTCATCATCTTGGATGTAAACGATCAACGACCAGCTTTTGATTCCAGACTAAGCTGTTCCTCATCTTCACCTTTCGAAATCAGCGAAACCGCTGAAAAAGACACGCCTGTTTGTCAGTTTAGGGCTACGGATGATGACAAACCGAATACCATCAACTCAGAAATCACCTATTCGTTGCTGGGCGAAACAGGTACAGTAGGCCTATAGCTTTGGAGTTTTCCGTGACATCAAATCTTTTTCCTGTAATCATTTAAATACTAAAAATCATTTATTACAGAGCTGGAAAGCTGATTGAAATTTAGATCACCCTTTTCCCAGAGTCTTTTCGATGACATTTTTCGTGCTTGATGCATTAATTGCAGATTTTGGGATCGAGGGAGATGGTGAAGACTACCGACTCATTGTCAATGGTACCCTGGATAGAGAGACTAAAGAGTTATATGACATCACAATCATGGTATATGAACATTGTGCCCTCAGGCTGGTCTTCCTTTCTTGTCAATTCCATTCCACCTAAAGCATGCATTTTTGACCATGAATCTCCTTTTGCAATTCCGCAACACCTTCGTATTTACGTTAATAACGTTTCCATCTTGTAATTGTTTCACAAAGAAAAGGGAGTCAAAGGTGATCGGCGTCAACATTGCTTAAAAGTTTTACCGTTATTCCGATTTTTTTTCCACAGAAGACCAAAATAAAGGGAAGTGATTTTTATGCCATGTACGTTGTAAATATATTTAGAGAGTATAAGGAAGTAGGCCTATCCCTCGATCATGACGAAATCAACTTAAGCTACATATTCGCTCTCACTAGTCTTTTCTACTATCTTTTCTTACGAAATGCATTAAAGTGAATTTTTTCACCTTCGGCAGGCAAGTGACTCGGGAACACCACAACTCAACAGCACCTTGGAACTCAAAATTATCTTGACTGACGTGAATGATAACGCACCTGCATTTGACCAATCAAGCAGAGACATTGTCTTGGAAGAAGAGGATTCCTACGCCGCAGGAAGTTTGGTAAATTGCTGGCAGTTTCTCCCTATTCCCCGACGCACAAAAGATCTAGCCGCCTATCCTGATTGACCAAAAGCCTTGTCCTCGAAAACGTTGTTTTAATAATCTTCGGACTCTCTTGGAAATCCCCCTTCAAACTATTACAAGAGCTCGTTAAATAATTGAAAAAAGTCGAACAATTAACAAACAGCCTAGCAGTAGCACACCACGTGATTGCAACTGATGTTGTTTCACCAATAGAGGGCGGCATGTCAAATTGGCGGCACCCTCAAAACACGGGAATCTAGACACTTGCTAGACGGACATAGGCGTTGTCATTTGTGACAGTGCAGGAGTCTGTTCAGTCTTTTTTACAAGACCTTCCTATTGTTTTATTCGCGAACCATGAATAATACGACCCATCGCTGTCAGAGGCCCCCTTCAACAAACCCTGCTCCACTCTCGTTCACGTCACACATGTACTATATACATACATGTACACGCACACCCACAAACCGCTATCACCTTCGAACCGCTTTCAAAGGAAGTCAAAAATATTATTGAAGCCCAAACGTTTGACATTGGCATTTACGGAAGCCAGTAGGTGGCGATAAAGGTATTTTTTGGTGAGTTTTTGGAATTTTTGAGAACCCTTTTCACCTTACTAGGCCTATATGTAATATCATGGAGCGTTAGTGTTAATGTTTGCTGTAGCCTGAGTATGGCCTGAATTTTCCATGCTGCATCATGACCATGTTAGCATTTGTGTCAAGTCGAGGACGTTTCTGACTGACACGGCTTCTGTTGATTTTACAGTGTGTGTGTGTGTTTTTTTGTTTCAACAATATCATGTACAGGTTGTTGGACTAACTGTGACTGATCAAGACAAGAACAGCTTCTTTGTTTATGAGGCAGTCGGGGATAACGTGGACTCATTTTTTGTTAGACCAACAGGTAGGCCTGTTGGTTTTAAATATCCATTCCAATTATCTAATAGAAAAACTGTGACAAAGTTGATTTTTACACAGCTTAAGAGGCAATACTGGGAATGAAAGCATTTGCCGTAAAAAAAAGTGAAGGGAAAACTCTAGACATTTTTGTCTGATGTCAGTCATACCATGGTCAAACAAATAACCAAGATCGTCCGTTAACTTTGAATCTCTTTACTAAATGTGAGAGTTTTCTTCTGCTTCAGTAAGAACAAACTGTCTTGTGTTGTAAAAATAAAATGACAGTGGCTTAGTTAAGGTCACATTTTGAAAAATGAATTGTAAACATTATTTCCACACATTTTTAAAACTGATTGAAAGTTTCAGAACAAAAACTGGAATTTAAAACTAAATATGAGTTTTTCTTGGTAGCAAATTTACACCTGAGTGACCATGTATGTCATTGAATTGCTAACTATGATCAGCTAAGTGGGTTTGTCTGTCCATCACTTTGTTTGTTTTTATCATCAAACACAGACAATGGTTGTGAGGTCTTCGTCAGGAAGACATTGATAGACTCTGGACAGCCTTACATCATCCTCATCACAGTCAGCAACCCCGACAAACCAGAACTTGTTGATGATCGCAGCACAATCCGGTTGAGAATTTTTCCAGGGAAAGTTCAGTGCCTGCAATTTATTCCTCAGAATCCTAGCCTGACACTTTCTGCTCCGCTAGACAACTCAACAATCATTGACATGGATGTCAACTATACCTGCACAGACAACTTAGATACTTCATACATTGAGTTTGAAGAACAAACAGAGACATACAGAGCAGGTGTGTGCAGCTTCCATTATATACATGTGTTTACTGCCATTTGAGTTCAGTAAAACTAAATTATATGCAGTGTCTGAAAAATCCAATCAAAATGCATGAATAAACGTAAACAAGAACTTCCTAATTACATGCGTTTCTGTGACAGGCATTGATGCGTAATGGACCTCAAAGTAGAATCAATTGGAAAATTGTTTGTTGAAGAAGATGATACAGGATAAGACTTGAAGCTATGCATGGTGGAAGTACTGAATAAGTTAGGCTTAAGGTTGCACAATGTAGACAAAACTATCTCTTATATGAGTGTGTGGTTCTGAGAAGAATCGATGTTGAACACTCGATGTTCCGAACAGTATGCTCTGTTCGTCTTCTGGAGGGTGGCCCTCGGTTCACCATCGGTTCTTCTCAGAACCACACACTCATATCAGATATTTTCTACATGGTGCAACTGCAAGCCTAACCTATTTAGATGATACAACTTGTTCAATTCTCCTTTTTGTCAAACAGACCAAAATGATGTTGGTGGCCAAACTGATTTCTTTTCTATTGATGAGTTTACTGGTGAGATTAATGGGAATTCAGCAGCGCCCGTTGGTCTTTACTCCATTACTCTTGAAATGTTCAACAGCTCTGATGTTAACAACAGCATACGAGCCAACACCAAGGTACGTGTATGAAAAAACTCTCCACTTGCCAAGCTATGGTATGAATGCCCAAAGCCAACACCATGCAGAAATACCTATGGTCAATTCTTAGGTTGAACATCAAACTGATTATTCTCTCGTTCCCATGAACTTTCTTTTCCCACCTGCATTCTTTTTTGGGGGGGCTCTTTTATTGGGGACTATTTTAACTAATTTGTACTTGTTTCTGGTGATATTATGTAACTGAAAGTGCTGGTTGGATAAAGTCAGTGTGTACTGATGACATTTCATCTTTGGAGGACAAATTCAACTGTCCACATTCCTCCACTTGTCTTGTAAATGCAGGTTGAAGTGAGATTGGTTCCAATTGACAACGCCGCTCCACAATTCTCTGCTGAAGTATTTGTGTTACCGCCCCTTATCCTGCCCCTTGACATGGACAGAGAGCTTTTTGATCTGACGCCGAATGTCACTGATGATGATTATCCACAGTTTGGAAATGGCGAGTTGATGTTTGATAAATTGAAAGAGGAATGCTTGGATTGTACTGAGACAGGTAAACAATCAACATCCAGTCTCTCAATGGATATCTTAGCTTCTAGAATTTGATTGATGGGGGAACTAACTTCCAACCCACACTCCCTTGTCAGTAGGGCTTGGCAATTTTTTTCTTTTGGAATAACTCAGGTTCGACAGAAACAATATATACTGCCGTAATTGTGAAATGCATTTTAGCTGCAAACACTTTAAAACAGGGCATGAAAATGTCATGATTATGTCATAATGATGTGGTCAAGTCAATCTTATTTATTTAAAAAATGGCAAAAGTGTCTAGCTAAGACAAAAGTGCAATGAGTGCTCATAGTTGATATTCCTTCAGCATTCCTACTTAACCCAACAACACAAAGATTTCATTTCAATTCATCATCAAAAGGAAGAGTAAATTTGCCACTAAACTTATATTTTTCGGCATAAACACTCGTTCAGTTTTCAGAGAAACTTAATCCCCTAGGTATAAAAGCTCTTAAAAGGCAAGTAAATTCCTTTTCATACTGTTTAGATGTGATTCAAGTAACGCCTAATGGTAAGCTGTTCCTTGCTGTGGAGTCAACAACCATCACTGCTCTATCGCTCAATGTAACTGTGCGAGTACAGGATCGAGCGCTGGTGCCTCTCAATGACACAGCGCTCGTGAGTATCTCTCTCAAACAACCTAGTACCAGCCCGCCCACATTTACCAAGGAATGCACGGCTCCAGTGAGAATTGAAGAGGTAATTGAAAATTTAGTGGAACATTGAATGAGGTAGAAACTTACCTTTGACCCTCCTGCTGCATTTAGGAAAAAATGTAAAGAACATTTTGTTCACCGGTCCACGTTCAGTCATTTACATTCAAGAAATAAGTGCACAGATACTAGCTAAAAGTTCCCTGGTTTCTCCACATTCTGGAATGTGAAAGGAAACAGCAGGAACCAGTCTAGAGGAGAAAACTTTTTTCT